TATATATATATATATATTATATATGTGTGTGCTTTAATAATTGAACTTTTAGATAATATAAAAGAAATCGATTTTTTATTTAATCATTATATTTTTATTTAATCGTTGTATCGTCCTTTAAGAGAAAAGAATATTCGATTTATATATTTGCCAAAAATTATATATCCAAATTCAAACCTGAAACCCTTCTTTTTTCAGGTATTAAGAGATTTCTAGGATGCAATCATATTCGTAGCTACGAGTACTTCATTGAAAGCATAAATACACCGTGCCCATTCTTAGCCGTGCCGTGCAGTTCGTGGGAGAAATTTCATGAGGGCAATTGTTTCGACTGCGTAAATCAATATTGTCCTAGATTCGGACTGGACGCTCAGCCTGGAAATTACCACGCATCTGTATATTTGATGACCGGATCGGATAAACCATTCTGTAGTTAGTAACAATTCATTTATACCCTTTTATCGACTTCTATCTATGTGAAATTTTATATCTTCCATCAAAATATATCTTGATTCTTTTCCGTGATTCTCTTTCGTGTCGTTTTCCCGATTTTGTAATTCTCTTTCGTACTATGATCACGATTTTTTAGTTTTCTTCCATGCTGCATCCAAAACTGAAGTGGATATAACATGGAAAAGAACTAAAAAATAACACTCATAGATTCACGGAAGAATAAAAAAATTGTGGACATAGCATTTGGTTTGAGCTTCAGTTAGTGTATCCGATGAACACACCTAATATTCGAATAAATGAATAAAAAATGAATGAAAATACTCATTCGAATACATTTATTTTTTATTCGTTAAGAAACAATAAATATTTGTTCATTCCATTTGAATGAATACGTTTTTTTTAATATGATTACACAAATATTTTCATTTCACTTTTATTCTATATTATCTGCACATAGCTTGCAAGCCTGCAAGAGAAAACAGAAATCTATAAAAACAATGGCTACGATTAGTCCGCGACTATGATGAGCGTCCTCGTTTAACCTATAGATTAAATAAAGACATTTCTATTGAGAATAAATAATATATCTCGGAATTTAATGTCCACAGATCATAATGAATGTCGCTCCCAAGAAATCCTATAAAATATTTATAACATTACTGTCATATAATCGGAATTATATGGAAATATGTATGACGCTCTATCAAATAGATAGATTTATAAATAAAAAATGCATATCTTTTTAATATATTTTCAAAATTTCTAAATTTCCTTTATAAAATTTTTATATTACAATGACAAAAATAAATAAAATTCATTTTTTTACTTAAAGTCATCAAAGTATCGATTATAGTTAAGAGGTAACGATTACTTATTAGAACTTTCTTTTTCAGTTTATATTTTGTTTGATTGAATATGAATATTCGTTATGAGTATTCATTTTTTGTGAATAAATATTTTTTGAAAATTCAATTTTGAATATATGATTACATTTATTTATGTGAAAATTTTGAAAAAATACAATTTGGAGCTCAATTACACATTTTTGTATTTATCGGGCATATTAATTTCAATGTAGATTTTCACATTGTGTTAGATCAGTATTTACCATTAAGATAAAATTATCTAATATAAATGATTCTCTAGATAATTATCTAATTAAATTAGATATTTTTATTTAATATAAATATTTGAAATTGTTTTAGCTTCTTTTAATCTACATTATTAAAATGTGTATTAGCTTCATTTTTATTTTAGATAAAATAAATGTTAGCAAATCATCTTTATCTTATGTAAAATATGTTTATATGTAATTTATTTTTTTATCTAGATAATTTTAATTATTTAAGCGTAACTCTATTCCACTGTTCTAAACTGCAAAAATCTGAAAAAATTTTTGCACACCTGTGAAAGCATTAACAACAAATTTTTACTAGTAGAAGTTGAATTTATTTTTTTCTTATTTTTGCAGATTATAGGACTCTGCATTACTCATATACAAAAACGAAATGCGTATTATAAATAATATTTTTCAATATTGATCCAAAATAGTAACTTTCAAATGATGCTTACAGCAAAATCTGTCCATTTTTTATGATTGTCTCGAAACTTTCAATCAACATTTTATAAGTTACAAAATATATATTACAGTCAATTTGATTAATTGATTTTTCCATATAGTTAGTGCTTTATATATCTACCAAAATTTAAATCAAAATATCGACTATGCCTTCCAAAGCTGGTAGAAAAGTATTAATTGTAAAATTGAAATTAAACGCGAGTCACACAAATCTTTTGTCTTTATAAATGAACTGAAATTAAAATTCATATAATTAGAATACCGTTCCTTCAAATTACAGAAGCTCACTATAAGCTGACGATAAATATCTCAAAGACGAACGAAAGTTTGTTACACGGCGGAGAGATCGGATTATTCGTTGTACGCGTAATCGGCATAAACGGTAAAAAGACCGAAGAGATGCAGCTGAGTCCAACCTCGAAGTATTACGAGCCTGGTAGTACGCACACCATCGTACTACCTGGCGATGTTGTCGGAAAGCCGCACTCAGTGGAAATTACCTGGAAATATGAGACCCGAGTCTGGAACCCACTGACATGGAGACTGTTCCAGACGCCACGGGTTTACATCGATATGCTGACTGTAAAAAACCTGGAGACTGATCATGGGTGAGAAATTCCGCTTACCTCGCGGCTTGCTCGAAGAAGTAATATCTAGTGAAAAAGATCGGAATCATATGCCACAAGAATTTTTGAACACACGACATTTCGAATGCAAGGATTAAGGATATATTACACATATTTTTTTTAATAAAATGAAAGAATTAAGAAAAAATTATAAATTTTTCTTTATTATATTTCCAAAGTGATTGCGAGGTGCAATCACTTTGGTTTAATATGCAAAGAATGATTGTTTGCAATATTTGATATTTTTTGTAAAAAAAATTTAACGTTATCTTGAAATTATAATTCAGAAATCATAAATGTATTATTTATCATCTATAGAATGCATTTTTTTAATTTCGATAATTTACTGTTTATCTATATTATAAAGAATTTAAATACAGTTTTTCTAATATAGTAAAATTTCTGCCTATGACAATGAAGTCATATACATATAATTTCTAGTTTATAGCATACATAGTGTAATTTATCATAATAAATTCTGTTATACGTATGCACATAAAAACATACACACATATGTATACACACACACATGCGCGCGCGCGCGCATACACACACGCACACGCATACGCACGCACGCACACACACACGCACGCACGCACGCACGCGCACACGCACACGCACACAATATGTCTCATTTTAATTGTTCATCTCGAATATCTTGGAAAAAACGCATTTTTAAAAAAATGTTTTCAACAAAAGTTATAATCTGTACATTTGTACATCAATAATAATAAATTAAAAATTATAATTGCATATGATTTTTATTCAGTCATAGGCAGAAAATTTGCTGTTACAGAAAAACTTCGTGTGTATTTAAATCATTCATAACATAGTTGGTAAAATATTAACATTTTTTAAAAAAATGCATTTTATAAGGAATAAATAATACATTCATAATAAGTCAAATATTAATAAGATAATGTTAAACTTTTTTAGAAAAAATATCAATGTAGCAAAAAAAAATTTTTGCATATTAACTCCGATTATTTTAAAATCTAACGTTCTAATGAAATTTAATTTAAAGCATTGTTTTCAGCATTCAACAATCTATAAGAAACACTTTGTGGTTCAAAATAATAAAAAAAAAATCATTTTTTTTTGTAAATTAATGTATTAAAGATGTGGTAAAAATATGATTTTCATTCAAACTATAAGATTATATTATAAAATGTTAAATCTATTAACCTTATTGAACTGTTTCATTGTATGTAATATTAATTATTTTTTAATTAATTTTTAATTAATTAATTTATTAATTATTTTTAAAAAGTATAAATTTCCAATTTCAATCATTTTTTATAAACCTATATATCTAGCACATTCTTAAGAAAATAATAATAATAATTATAAATTTCTCTTGTATACTTTTGCACGTTTATAACTTCGCATCTTTATAACTTCTCGTCTTTATAGCCGCTCCAGCTTATCTCTCGTGCAATTTTTATTATGCACGAATATTTTTACAGCGATGAAAGGAAAAAAGTTGAAAACGGCGCGATAAACGAGTTGCTGACATTTATAAAATTTGACATACATATAGTCGCATTAATTATTACACAGCGTAATTACTTATATAATTGCGCAGAGATAACTACATAATTATTAGATGCAGTTGCTAGATAGAATTACGTAATCGATTGCCATTTTTCATAACTCCATTTTTCATTTTTTTTTTCAGGGTCACGCTATGTCCAGATAATACGAAAGCGCTAATCACTAACAAACCTAAGATTCTTACTACGGATAATTGTCGCAACATGGAACACAACACAAATTTCATATGAAGAACCAATAAAATCCACGCGTATTCATTTTTTCTCACAATCAAGAATTGAAGCAAGTATAATTTCGTTGACATAATAATTGAAGTTTGCGAGATATGTCTAAATGAAAAATCTCTTGTTTACGAAAAGTAAGTAAGAATGAATTGTCCTATCCGTAATATGAAAATTAATAAACAATTTCACAAAAAATCGCTGAAATTATACTAGTTCAAATACTGAAATTATACTAGTTTCAAATTTTGCTCACAATGAGATCAATGACAAAAGTCAACGATCTTCTCGTTATAGCCTTAGAAATAAGAGTCGTTAGCTGTGTGAAGGAAATTGCACGATAGAATGTTGAAGGCTATAGAAATTTTTCCATTTATCCTTTCTTATAGAAGCTAAAGATGAAAAAGAATATTTATAATGCCATATAGGAAAAGTATCCTCTCAATCTATATAATGCCATTATTCTACGTAGAGTTCTAAGAATAATTGCCATAAATTAAACGCTTGTCTTCCCCATAGGGGAATCGATTCATGTGGGTAACATTTAATATCCGGAAATTCTGTTTCGATCCGAGTTGCTTATTTTGCGACTGTCATAGGTGAACAGCCGATCGCGAGCCCAGCACGAATCGCATATAATAGCGCCGGTTTCCCTCGTAGCCAATGGCAAAGTCACGATCCTTTCACTGTCATTATGCGCCCGGGGTCTTTCTCTCTCTCTCTCTCTCTCTCTCTCTCTCTCTCTCTCTCTCTCTCTCTCTCTCT